GCTCTGGACAATTTCAAGTCAAGACTCACGCTTCTCTATGGTTTTTCTCTAACTATGCTGCTGCAACTTCCAATTGTAATCATTACTTCCATATTTATCACAAAAACAGTTCTCCAGAAAGTAGACGTCTGTTTATAATTGTTAGAAACCATTGTATAAAGGTTTTGTCTAATGTCAAAAGCCGCTTTTCTCAGGTCATAAAATCTTGTATTTCATCTGAAAAATTAGCTTCATAGACTTCTAAAGAAGCTTAATTTTAAGCTTCTGAAGATTTTGTTATCTCACCTAAAGAAAGAGTTGAATTTTTTGCTAAGAACTTTTCATCAATATCATCAATGTGATCTCTAACTTTCCATCAATATCATCTCTTGATTCCACTAGTCACATTCTACCTAATGTAGCCAAAAAAAAATTGATCGATTGCTAGACATTCACATCAATTCAGATTCTATATCTTTTCTGCTCAGACTCTTCAACAGCTTGTGGTCCGGACAATATACCTGTTATAGCCTTGCAGAAGTGTTCTCCAGAGCTGTCGTCTATGCTTTCAAAATATTTAACAAGTGCTTATTAGAGTCTTATTTTCCAGCCTGCTGGAAAGCGGCATTTGTTATCCCTATTTTCAAAAACTCTGGGGAGCGATCTGACTAATCTAACCCCGTCTTATTAGTCTTCTTTCTACCATAAGCAAGGTTTTTGAGTCTTTGCTTAACAAACACTTAATCTCTTATCTTGAATCTAATAACTTAATTTCTGATTATCAATATGGATTTTGACCTTCTCGTTCTACTGCTGATTTGTTAACCGTAATAACCGATAGGTTTTATCATGCATTAGAAAAATATTGAGAGGTTAAAGCTTTTGCTCTCGACATTTCTAAAGCCTTTGATAAAGTTTTATATGCTGGTCTGGTAAAATCTTTAAGACTATTAAATTTTTCCTTACCAATTGTAATATAAATGTTGTCCTTAATGGATAGCACTCTTCTTTTTTTCCTGTACTTCAGTGGTTCCTCAATTTTCTATCCTTGGCCCATACCTTTTTTAACTTACATTAATGATCTCCCAAAAATTTCTTACATCCAAGGTGGCATTGTTTACTAATAAGTTGGCATTTGAGCTTGAAAAGGATCTCACTTCAGCTCCAGCTTGAGGCTTTCAGTGGCTGGTAAACTTTAACTCAGATAAAACTTAATTTTTTTTTCAGCTAACCTTTATTGCAGCAATCTAAATCTTCCCATATTTATGAACGGTAATTGACTCGATGAGTCATCTACGCCTCTTCTCTTAGAATTACCTTTTAGTTCCAATCTTTTTTGGAAACCTTATACCAAATCCATAACAAAATTAGTATCTGCTAAGGTTGCATCTCTTTATTGTGCTTGCCAGTTTTTTACTCCCAATTCTAATCTTTATCTATATAAATTTCAAATCAGTCCCTTTATTGCAACTGTTGCTAAGTGTTCCAAAAATTCTTATTTGTCTAGTTTTTTACCTTGAGCATCAGTTCTTTGAAATTCGCTCCCTTCATCGTATTTTTCTGACTCATATATTATGCAATTTTTCAAGTCGTCAGTTAATCTTTATCTTGCTTTCTAAACTTCATTTTTTTTTTCTTTTCCAGTAACTTCCCATTCTAAAAGTGACTGCTTTGAGCCTTGTTGGAAATGGACAAAAAACATTTTCTCAAGTTTTAATCTGAAGTCTGTGTGACCCGTCTTATCAAATATTTCTAAAAGTTCCGCGCTGTTCTTAAAAATAAATTGCAATTATATTATATCCAAAACCGGAAAAGAATTTAAATAAACAACATTATATTAAATTAAGTTCTAAAGAAATTAGATTATATCTAGCTGTTAACATTTATCCTTTTATAAAAACATTTTAGTTTTAAACAGTTTTCAACATCTAAACAAGTTAAGATATTTACCAAGTCAAATATTTAATTCATGTAAAACATATTTCATAATTTTTATGCCTTTTTTTTATACAAATAATAAAAGTACCTTATTTTATAAGCATTCAGAGGCAATTCAACAAATTAAATGAGGGGTGAATCATTAAAATGTAACAATTGGCTCCTTAATAATAAAAAAAGGTCCTTAAAGCTAAAATTCATCCGATTGAAGTGTATCAAATACCCAACTAGTCGAAAATGTTAATCCAAAAATTGACTAAAAGCCAGCTTCTTGGAGGGAGAGAGGGGGTTGCTGCGCTCCTTCTCCCCGTAAAATCGCCCCTGTGTGCTTTTAAAGAAATTTAAATCATTAAGTAAATATTATTCCGCACCTATTAACAATAATTAATTAAAAACAAACTAATAATGGCATTAATAGTAAATATTTACTGGAACTCTGAGTATATAAATCTAATGAGTATAATTCTAAATAAGAAATTCTTTACAAACCGTGTTGTGTCTCGATGGAAAACACTGCCACAAACAGTAATTGATGTAATCTCGGTTGACATGTTTAAAAACAGTATGGATGAAGATTTAATTTGGTAAAAGAGAAGCAAAAAAGCGTAATGTTTTTTAATATATTATTATGGTATGCTTCTTGTGTGACAGATGTGCTCGAGTACCGCAAACTGTCAGTACAGAGGTGCTTGACGCAGCAAATTTTCCTTAATAATTGTTATACAAAAAGTAGCAAAATATATATTTATATATATATATATATATATATATATATATATATATATATATATATATATATATATATATATATATATATATATATATATATATACATATATATATATATACATATATATATATATATATATATATATATATATATATATATATATATATACATATATATATATATATATATATATATATATATATATATATATATATATATATATATATATATATATATATATATTTATCACTATCTGTGACAATTTTTCAAGTTTTGAAAAATAAAAAAAAGGTGTTTGCTACTTTTTGTTATTTAGTAATTTTTGATTTTTAGTTATAACCCGTTATATATATATATATATATATATATATATATATATATATATATATATATATATATATATATATATATATATATATATTATATATATATATATATATATATATATATATATATATATATATATATATATATACATATATATATATATATATATATATATATATATATATATATATATATATATATATATACATATATATATATATATATATATATACATATATATATATAAATATATATATATATATATATATATATACATATATATATATATATATATATATATATACATATATATATATATATATATATATATATATATATATATATTATATATATATATATATATATATATATATATATTTATATATATATATGTATATATATGTATATATATATATATAGTTTTTTTAATAGTAATTATTAGTTATAACCCGTTATATACATATATATATATACATATATATATATATATATATATATATATATATATATATATATATATATATATATATATATATATATATATATATATATATATATATATGTATATATATATATATATATATATATATATATATATATATATATATACAAACAAAAAAAAATATTTTAAAATTAAGTCATGACAACCAAAGTAACAAAACTCTAGACAAAACTTTTACATTTTGCAAGTAGGTGGAGAAAAACGGGACAGTTAAAAAGCAACAGTTATTCGTCAATTGTAAAGTTTTAAAAATAATGAAAAATGAAGGCTATCTATTGCTTAAATATGTTCAGCAATTAAACTCTCAAAAAAGTAACATATCCATAGAAACTACACGCCCATGCACCCATACACCACAAAAAAGAAATAACCCATACACAACAAAAAAGAAATAAAATAAAATATTTTTTTGTGTGTGTTTTATTATAAAATACCCCCGCTCTATTCTAACCTATATATTATTAATTTGGTAACTGCTACTAAATTTAAAATTAAACAAAAAATTTTATGGATCACATAAATCACACAAAGAATATCCTGAAACTGTTCGGCAACATTTTTGATGAGCTGGCTTATTAGCAATATGCCAATGTAGAGCAAACTTAAATACGCCATATGTATCAGCAGCTCTTCTAGTTCTAAGTTTCAGTTTACTCACACTAAAACTGAATTTCATCCCGTTTTGGATGGTTGATTTTTTTTTATATAATTTCTTACCTTCTCTGTTTTCATTAAACACTATTAATCATCGAAGTTAAGTTATAAAAGTAAGAAATTCTTTAAATTTATTGCTAAAATTGATTCTAAATAAAAAAAAAAAACAATATTTTAAATTAAAACTAAAATTATCAAACTGTAAACAGCATTGCGAAATGGTAGTATTATACTCAATTATATAAATACTAGTGTTGTATATATGCCTCACAAAAATCAATTTACTGAAAGTAATACTTTTCAAAAAGTTCAATTCCAAAATATATATTTATGTATATATATATATATATATATATATATATATATATATATATATATATATATATATATATATATATATATATATATATATATATATATATATATATATATATATATATATATACATATATATATATATATATATATATATATATATATATATATATATATATATATACATATATATATATATATATATATATATATATATATATATATATATATATATATATATATATATATATATATATATATATAGATATATATATATATATATATATATATATATATATATATATATATATATATATATATATATATATATATATATATATATATATATATATATATATATATATATATATATATATATATATATATATGAATATATATATCTACATCTATCCATAACAATTTTTCAAGTTTTGAAAAATAAAAAAGCGATGTTTGCTACTTGCCGAATAAGGCTTTAAGTTTTAATTTTATAATTTTTTATTTTAGAGTATTTGTATTTAGAGTATTTTAGAGTAGTTGATAAATCAAACTTACTTATTTTCTTGCTAATATTTTTGACATCCTTCAGAGATACATTGTTTACATCCATTTATACAAATTGTTACATGAATCATTCGATTACAAATCAAATATATGTAAATTTAATTAACAAAAATGTTTTTTAGAGCAATTACCGAATGCAACTTAATTCTTTTTATAAGTATAAAATTCCGCAATAATTAAAGATTACTAGAGATTATCACAACAAAGTCGTTTTGATTTGTAAGACATTATATTTTTAACTTTCAATCAAAGGTTTTTTTTGTAAATAGTTGACTATGTACAACAATAATTTTATTAATTTTAAAAAAATGATAAACTTAAACAAAGAGTTATGATAGACTAGTTGAAGGGAGAACGAACCCAAAAGTTGTTTAAAATTATGCTACAGTCTTTGTATTAGAATTATTCCAGTGGCAAGTCAAAATGGCGCCTTTGCGTTGAAAAAGGAAATTATTGAAACGTAATTTGAGCAGTTCGAACAAGAAGTAATCACAATAAAAGTCACTATCTACATAAAGTAATCGTTGAATGCCTCAATACTAATTATAAATATCAAAGTTTTAGACTATCTTTACTACCTGTTTGAACTTTATCTTTTTATTTCGCGTTTAATTAAAGGTTTTTTACGCTCTTAAAAAACGTTTTTTGGCTAGGAACTTATTATATATCTTCAGAATTTTATTTTGTATTGTATTTTTGCTGGGTTTAAAAATAACTTGTTATATTTTGAATGAAATTCTTATACAGACATTAACTAATTCAATTCTAATCTAGAAATTTATTATTAGTTATTTCAAAACAAATCATATATAAATGACAACAAACTAACACTAAACATTGGTATACGAATTTTTATAAACAATACATAGCTGCAGTCAAATAAAACAAGTAATTTATTTCATATCTTAAGAGTTATTTGCAACAGTAAGAGAAGTCTTCGCATAGTAAGAAAAGTCTTTGCAACAGTAAGAGAAGTTTTTGCATAGTAAGAGAAGTCTTTGCATAGTAAGAGAAGTCTTTGCAACAGTAAGAGAAGTCTTTGCAACAGTAAGAGAAGTCTTTGCAACAGTAAGAGAAGTCTTTGCAACGGAATATCACATTATGATTCACAATTAAAAAAATTTGTAAATTGAAAACTGAAATATAAATTTTTGAATTATAAAATTCCTAAAATATAAAGTTCAATCAAAATAATATATAAAATTCCTTAAAAATTACAAATAATATATTGATATCATAATGTGCAAATTAGGTAACTAATTTTTTACAAAATGACTTGATAATTCATTAATAATTTTATAAAAAACGGAGTTACCCAACTTATATGTTAACGTACCTATAAAGTTTTTTTTTTATATATAACAACTCAATGAACTTAATAATATATATAATATAATACAACTTTATAATATATATAATAAAATATATATAAATTAATATTAATAACAACTTAATGAACTTTTTTTTTTAATATAACAACTCAATGAACTTTAACATTGTAGTTTCTAATATTGTGAGTGCAAACTAAGTACAAATCTGCATAATAGTTTTCAAAAGATAACTTAGTTTAAAAAATCAAGAGCAAACCAGATTCAGTGCGAATTTACACAATTGCGTCAAATAAATTTGCACACCGACCTAAGTGTAAATCAGCTTAAGGCTAAATAGGTTTCAAACGTATGACTAAGTGTGAATTTGCATAAGTGCAAATTCACACTTAGTCATAAATTTCAAGCATGCAAATTAATGAATATTTTTAATAATTTATGAATAATTTCATTTTTACATATTCATGAAGTTGCATGCCAAAAAAATTTACAAAAGAATTTACAAACACTGGTGTAAGTAGAAGTGGCAATATGGGAACCCCAAACAAATTGTAGATCTTGGGATTAGTCCCCAAAAATTTCAGGATTTAATTAAAAAATAAAACAATGCTGATACATAGGAGAGAGTTGCCGAAATTTAAATAGCCCACAGTGGAGTATTTGTATGACAAAACCGCTCAAAAATACTTTATAAATATTTTTTCAACTTTTTAGTTTGAAACACAGTATTTTATCAAAATTAAATGTTTAATTAAAAAAAAAATTCTAGAGAGAAATTTATTATTAAGAAAAAGAATTGTTTGCTTTAAATTATTCGCGTGTCAAATGTTCATTCTTTGATAATCATATTGACTGCCTCTTTTGAAAAAAGCAACGTTTTTTTGTGTCGTTTTGGTCTAGAACTACTTATGTATGGGTCTGAACTCCATAGCAGTCTATTTACTACGTCTATATTGCAGTCGATACGATAAAATTTGACTAAAATTTTGTCTGTTCTGCCGAAAGTGTTTGTTTCTGGCTTCAGCTGCCTACTCAGATAACTGGCCGATAGGGAGGATTGTATGGTGTATTACTTCTGCGCCAATGCATCAAAACTTTATGCATAGTTGGAGACATAGAATACCAACCACACAGATTGATATACATTTTAGCAGTTTTATGAGCAAAAAGCGTTGAATTTAAAAGCATCAATTTTATATCCACTTGAAACGATTTTAAGAATAACTTGTAAACGTTTTATTAAGATCATGTTAACGCCAATTATTTTTGAAGATAATTTCGGGTTTGAAAAATTCTTCTATATCTTGTTTAAATAAAAATGGCATTTTTATTTAAACAAGATATTAAAAAAAAAAAAAAACAAAGGTGTAGAGCCACAAATAACCCTGACAAGAACATAAAGTAGTACAAATAGCTGTCTTGTGCGCAATGAACGCGCATAAATCAAGTCAATAAACAAGAAGCAATAGGTGTTTAACAATACTTTTTTTTATACAGTCAGTATAAATGGATTTTATGGCATAATTTCATTTCAAAAATGCGTAGCAACGGAAAAATCAAAGCGTTGCTATGGATAAAAATTTATACTGAATCATTTTAATTAAAGATTAAATGTAGATACCAAAGTTATTTTTGCAATCCGATAAAAAATTAGGAATCTACTATGATTTGGTTGATGAAGTTTTAAAAAAATGATTTTTTCAATTTTAATTACTGTACTACCCAGTGGCGGATTGAAGTTTAGCGTCGTGGGTGGGGGGCATGGGAATAAGTAGGAGGCAACAAGGGCTGGAGGGGGATCACGTCTGAGCTCTCTAGGTTGAAACAAAATGATTGTCAATGCTCTCAGCAAGCTCACATTCAATTAAAATTTAAGTAAATGCAAAAAGACGTTGTTTTGTCATTTTGTTGATTACAGATTATTTTTGATCTTTAGTATACTGAAATTTCTCTCATCATAAACATATGTATACGAGTCAACTTGTTTTTGTAGAGTATAGACGAGTTAGGGAAACATGATGCCATCTATTTTTCTATTAAGAATGAATGTATTGAGGGGATGCCATATGGGTTTTTGCCAAAAACATTTTTAACTTATAAAAATAAATCTAAATTGCTCCACAATGTTAGAATCAGTTAATTTAAAACCTTTTTTTTCCCTCCTTTTTACAGTTGTTTTAATACACCAAGTCACAGTTGTTTTGATACACAAAACTATGTTTAAAATCCATTGAATGTGAATATTATGATTACAAGAGCTATTTTCTTGGAACAAAACGTTTTTGCTTTGTTTTCTGCCACAAATGCGGGAAAATGTGTTAATGGTTTGTTGTTACATAGTTTTCTATTTACATTTAAGTAAATGCAGAGTTTTGTAAAAAGAAATTTATATTTTTGGGGGCGCTAGTTGACTGACTTAGAAAGCGCGGAAGGATGGGGGCAGCTCGCCCCCACGTTCTATGGAGAATCCGCCACTGGTATTACCTTCTTAATCAGTGATAAAATTAAAAGGTTGAAGATTATACTCATAAACCTCAAAAAAGAAATACTTTATTGAAGTACTTTATACTATTTTAAATTAATAAATTAAACTAAACTCCTAGTAGTTAAAGTTTTTGTTTATTATTTTTAAAATTTCATTTTTTTTTGGGCATTTTTAATTCTATTATATAAGTTTTTTGAACGAATTATTTAAATTGTCACAGTAAAGATAAATTATCTTTACAATTTAAATAATTCGTTCAAAAAATGTATAATAACATTAATTTTATCTTAGATAAAAATAATTTTTAATTGATTTTTGCTGATTTTACTTAGATTTTTTTTTTGAAGAAGCAAACTGTATCTATTAAGAAATCAAAGTGCTCCAGTTTAGGAAACTGGTTATCTTAATTGGAACAAATTGGTGACTCAATTGCCTATCTTTTTTTTTTTTTTTTTATTCTGAATGATGAAAAACAAAATACATTTTTTTTTTTTTTGCAATATCCAGTAGTGTTTTTGTTTCCACCTTTCTTATATTATTATTATTTTTTTTTTTTTTTTTTTTTGCAGATTTAGAATCTGTATTATAGAATCCAAATCGATTACACACCTGATTTATCACAAACAGAGCAAACTTCCATTATCATAAGGTATATTAAAATCATTGAGAAAATAAAAATTGAAACAATAAAATCGTTATTGGATTTTTAAAGCAAATGAAACAACAAAGCATTATTAAATGTTATTAAGTACTTTAAAATTGAATCTAGCTTAAAATTAAAAAGTTAATCTAACGATAACGGTGTTAATATAAAGAGGCAATATAAATACAGGCAAGAACTTGATAAATTAATGAAAATGTATCTTGTCTAGCTCGTAATTTTAATTTACTTTTATGTGATGCAATTGCTACTTCGTTTCAATCGGAAATTTTTTTGGAATTTTTCAAAGAATATATACATTATTTCGGATTTAACCAAGCGCTGGGCAATATTAACAAAGCATGTAAAATAGAAATGAAATCTTTAAATAAGACATAATGAAAAGCACGTATTTATTCAATAAGAACATCATTTTTTCAAATTAAAGAAAATATATCTGCACTGCATTTTATTTTATCTGCACAAACTTCTTGACAATTTTTCAGACCGTTTGCTTTTTTCCAAAATAAATAATTTTTTAGAGAATATTCAAAACTGCCTCAAAAAAATAAGTATTAATAATAAAACTATTACGTTATTAAAAAGAAAGATCTAGAAGTCACTTTATTACTAATTAATTTAATAAAAAAAGAACTTGAAGCATTAAAAAGTTTATTTGAA